AAACCAAAAACAAAAAACCAAAAAAGCCAAAAACGAGCCACTTACGTAACCCCCCCTACCCCTAACCCCACCCCCCCCCCCCACGCCCCCGGGACAGAAGTACGAAAAATTCTAGAAGCCCCTATCCTGCAACCTTGATACTAGACCTCCAGACTTTCCTATCAAGGGCCATGTCCTCGGAAATCCGCATTCTAGCCATGTCCTGCCTAATCACCTCTCCCCAATACCTCTTGAGCCTCCCTCTGCCTCGACTCGCGCCAACCACCGCCAGCCGCTCACAACTCCTCACCGGGGCATCGGGGCTTCTCCTCCGCATATGCCCGTACCACCTGAGCCTCGCTTCCCGCATCTTCTCATCTACTGGGGCCACCCCCACTTTCTCCCGAATAACTTCATTCCTAATCCTATCTAACCTGGTGGGCCCGCACATCCACCTGAGCATCCTCATCTCCGCAACCTTCATTCTCTGGACATGGGAGTTCTTCACCGGCCAGCACTCAGCCCCATACAACATGGCAGGTCTAACCACAGCTCTATAAAACTTCCCCTTGAGTTTCTGTGGCACTTTCTTGTCACACAAGACTCCTGATGCAAGCCTCCATTTCGACCACCCCGCCCCTATACGGTGAGTGACATCCCCGTCGATCTCTCCGTCCCCCTGAATCACCGACCCAAGATATCTGAAACTGTCCCTCTTGGCGATGACCTGAGATCCAAGCTTGACGTCCCTGCCTACTTCGCTCGGCTAGGCGCTAAACTTGCACTCCAGGTACTCTGTCTTAGCCCTACTTAGTTTGAAACCCTTGGACTCGAGAGTTTGTCTCCAAACCTCCAACCTCTCGTTAACACCGACCCTCGTCTCGTCTATCAGGACTATGTCATCAGCAAATAGCATACACCATGGCACATCCCCTTGAATATGGCGTGTTATAGCATCCATCACCAAAGCAAATAAGAGAGGGCTAAGTGCAGATCCTTGATGAAGCCCCATTACCACCGGGAAATGGTCTGAGTCGCCACCCACCGTCCTAACCCTAGTCTTATCTCCATCGTACATGTCCTTGATCACTCTGATGTAGGATTCCGGCACGCTCTTCTCCTCCAGACACCTCCATAGCACCTCCCTTGGGACCTTTTCGTACGCCTTCTCCAAGTCGATAAACACCATGTGCAGGTCCTTCTTCTTATCCCTGAAGTGTTCCACCAATCTCCTGACAAGGTGGATAGCTTCTGTAGTGGAGCGGCCCGGCATGAAACCGAACTGGTTCACGGATATAGACGTCATCTCCCTCACCCTCGCCTCAACCACCCGCTCCCAGACTTTCATGGTGTGGCTTAGTAAATTGATACCCCTATAGTTGTTACAACACTGGATATCCCCTTTGTTCTTATACACGGGCACCACTGTACTCCACCTCCACTCCTCCGGCATCCTCTTAGTCCTGAAGATCACATTGAACAACCTGGACAACCACTCTACTCCTGACCTACCTATGCATTTCCAGAACTCCACCGGGATTTCGTCTAGCCCGGTCGCTCGACCCCTACTCATCCTACGCAAAGCCCCCACGACCTCCTCCACCCTAATGCGCCTGCAGTACCCAAGGTCTCTATGACACTCAGAATTCCCCAACTCCCCTAGCTCTACATCTCGATCCCCCTCCTCGTTAAGCAGGTCTCGAAAGTACGCCTGCCACCTCTGCTTGACTTGAGACTCCCCCATCAGAACTCTACCATCCTCGTCCTTGATGCACCTAACTTAGTCTAGATCCCGCGCCTTCCTCTCCCTCACTTTAGCCAACCTGAACAACTTCCTGTCCCCGCCTTTCTCCCCCAATTCCTCGTACATGCGACCAAACGCCGGGCATTTTTTGCTTCCGTGACCGCCAGCTTCGCTTCCTTCCTCGCCACCTTGTAGCTCTCCCTGTTGACTCTCCTTTCTTCCTCGCTTGAGCTCCCTGCCAACTTAGCAAACGCCGCCTTCTTCGCCTCCACTTTTCCTTGGACTACATCGTTCCACCACCAGTCACCTTGATGTCTGCCTGAATAGCCCTTGGCTACCCCGAGCACATCCCGCGCTGCCTCCCTAACCAAGTTCGCCGTCACTGACCACATTGCGTCCGCTTCCCCAGAACTTCTCCAAGCTCCACCATCAGCTAACCTCCTCTCCAACTCCTGGGCTTTCTCCTTAGTCAAAGCTCCCCATCTAATCCGCGGCCTGCCCCGAGCACCCCTCCTCTTCCTCTTCACCCAGAGACCGACATCCATCACTAGGAGTCTATGAAGAGTCGAAAGGGACTCTCCTGGGATAACCTTACAGTCCTTGCACAACCCTCTATCGCTCCTTCTGAGGAGGAGGTAATCAATCTGAGTCCTCGCCGCCGAACTTTTGAAATTAACCAAATGCTCCTCCCTCTTCTGAAATGACGAGTTCGCAATCAAAAGCTCGAAAGCCCTGGCGAAATCAAGCAGCGAAG